TATTTGTAATATTCAATACAGCTCTTCTAATTAATTTCCAGATTCACTTCACCGTGGGTTGTGTTGTGATGTTCGGCTTATTATTGGCATCAACTCTAAAAAACCACAAAAAATTATGTATTTGGTCCACTTCATTTCATAATTATAATCTGATCATCACCGAAAATTTTAGGCGTTGTCCTTGACCATAACTGGAACCTCATGGAACATTTCAAAGCGATCAGCGCTATATTTCCGTCCTCTAGTGTGGTAATGGGTTACTAAATAATATCTGAGTACATTTATCAAAACAGGCATGTTTATTTTTTGGACCGATCCCCTTCTCCATGTAAAATTTCACGATGTTCGGACCATAAAAGTCCAGTGAGCGGAGCAATATTATAGAACGGTGCCGATAATATAATACCCTACACAACTACTACTATGCTCTATGTTACTGCGGATCTATATACCGAGCCTGGGAATCTATTTCAAATCATGTTTTTCCGGAGTAAAAATCCTCTTCATAAGATTCAGATTCGCCTTTAATAAAAAAGTTGTGGTTTATTTGACCCGCGATTTGAAAGTCCCACACTCGAATTAGTTGATAAGATCGCCTTCTGACGAGGCAAATTTGTGATGTTCGGCTTATAATTGTGGCGTCTAGAGCGACTAGAAAACCAGACCAAAAAAGTTTTCGGTCCATTTCATTACCGAAATAAAATCTGATCATCATCGAAAATTATAGACGTCGTCCTTGACCTTAACTGGAACCAAAACAAAATTTCTTAGCCACCAGTGCTACATTTCCGCTCTCTAGTGTGGTAATAGGTTATTAAATAATATCTGAATACGTAGACAAGTAGTGTTGGCGGGTTATTTGGGATACCATTTGTATTTTATTATTGCAAAATATTCAGGCTTAATCCCAGTTTGTTGTTTTTTACAAGAAATTTGACCGCCAAGGCGTAAGGCTGGGAAGACCATAGCTTCGGATCTCGCACTAATCCCCATCAGTTCTCGTAGTTTTTTGTTGGGATATTCTCCCTAGAAGCTATTTGTAGCTTCTTTACAAAAAAACCTTTAATACCCAAATGTATATTGTAACAAATAGAAGCGAAACCACCTCAATGATAAGTTCGTTGGTGTCTGACTTCGTGGTTACGTAGACAAGTATAAATACTCACGCATACCTCCCACATTCGAGGACATATACCAACATTGGCCAACCACTCCTCTTGGTTTTACTATCAACTTTTCGGGCCTATGTCATTCAGGAGTAAATATAATACAAATACAAATTTTGTAATTCTTCACACAAAAGTCGGGGTTCATTTGACAAACCCCTTTCTCTCTGTAAATGTTTCGTAATGTTCGAGACATAATTGTGGCTTCTAGAGCGACCAGAAAAACAGACAAAAATAAAGTTGTTGGCCCATTTCACTCCAAAATATTAGCCGATCTATACCAAACCCAGAACCCAACGATTGGTACACATAAAGGTTGATCTAGGTTGAATATTTCACGGCGTTACAAACTTTTGGGGCTACACAAAGCTATAATACCCTTACAACACAGTTGTGTTGGGTATAATAATTCAAACAAATAAAGCCAAGTCTTTATTAGGTTTCATTAAACGCTGGTCTAAAGAGTTTGATGACCCTTATATTACTAAAAGATTATTTGTTAGTATTGTCCGCCCAGTCCTGGAATATGGTTGCATTCTTTGGAGTCCGTTTTATAAATGTGACTGTGATAAAATTCAGTCAGTTCAAGTTCAGTTTTTATACCCTTCACCACACTGTAGTACAGGATATTATGTCTTTGTGCATATGTTTGTAACATGCAAAAATAATCGAGAATAGAATCGCTTTCTTAGTCGATTTATGCATGTCCGTGGGCCCGTTCGTCCGTCCGTCTGTAGATTTTAAATTGTAAACAAAGTACAGGTCGCATTTATGATCCGAACTGGATGAAATTTGGCACAGCTCACTTTTTTGGCCTAAGGACGAACCCTATTGAAATTGGAAAAAATCGGTTCAGATTTAGATATAGCTCCCATATATATCTTCGCCCGATTTTAGGTAAATAGTCCACGAAAGTCCCTGAAAATCTTTTGATTTGCACGAAATTTGGCACAGCGTAATGAAAAAGGTCTAGAATTATGTCTGCCAAGTTTCATATTTAGATATAGCTCCCATATATATCTTCGTATTTAAGGTAAATTGTGTACCAAAGTCCCTATATATCTTTCTATTTGCACGAAAATTGGCACAGCGTACTAAATTAAATCTAGAATGATGTGTGCAAAGTTTTGTGAAAATCGGTTCAGATTTAGATATAGCTCCCATGTATAGCTTCGCCCGATTTTAGTCCACGAAAATCCCTGGAAATCTTTTGATTTGCACGAAATTTGGCACAGCGTAATGAATAAGGTCTAGAATGATGTCTGTCAAGTTTCGTGAAAATCGGTTCAGATTTAGATATAGCTCCCATATATATCTTCGTCCGATTTAAGGGGACCCCCCCATTCTCGGGGTCAAAAATGTTGTTGATATAATTCGAATCTACACTATTTATAGAATGTGCCTACAAAATTTCAAATGAAAATCTCAAGAACTCTTGAAGACATAGCCGATTTATTGTGTCAGCATCAAGTGACGGCTGAAGGGCTTCTCAAACTTTAAACGCGTTTTTCTCTAAACATTTTTTTGCGAATGGCGGGCACGATAACTCAAAAACTAATAACCCAATCGATTTCAAATTTTTACACGTTTCTCTGTGAGTGCATAGCTATCGTATGAACTAGGATAAAGCCAATCGGTGATGATCTTCCTTATTTTATAATACGGTTTTTGGTAAAAAATCGGCGATTTTCCAAAATTTTTTTTTCAAAGGTCCACCATTTTGTTAATTTTAGAGCGAAGTCAATATTCCTAGTTCATACGAGAGCCAGACATGTGAGGAGTTATCGTGCCCGCCATCAAAAATAAGGACTTTTCTTTAATTACAAAAAACAACAACAAAATTTTTTTGTAAATTATTGTTCTTCTATTTTAAATCTTCAATTATATATGTGTAAAGTTACAAACCTTAACAAGCATTGGTATTGATTTACCAGCCCATTGAAAATCTTGAAAAATTAAAATCGAGAATGGGGGGGTTCCCTTAAGGTAAATTGTGTACTAAAGTCCCTATATACCTTTCGATTTCCATGAATTTTGGTATAGGGTACTGAATTAAGTCTAAAATGTTGTTGCTAAGCTTCGTGAAAAAAATCTATAGCTAGGTCGATTGACACAACGTACTGATGTGATATAAATTAGTCTCTGACAAGTTTCCCCGAAATCGGTTCAGGTATAGATATATAACAAAAACGTGTCGCCTGTTAGGATACATACGTAGAATATACCCAAAGTGGTGAAGGGTATCATATAGTCGGCCCAGTCCGGCTTTACTACTTTCCTTACTGGTTAATCTTTGCCTTGCGTGGCCTAAATTGGAACCCATCGGAATTACTTCCACATTATAAAAGTCGCTTATTGTTAATTAATCTTCCAACACTAGAAAGAAGACGTTTTATTATTTATTATTAAACTAACACGTGGACTGATTGATTCACCTTTTCTTACGGGAGAAATAATTTTGAATGTCCCATCTCGAAGAACACGTAATTTTGAAACGTTGAAAGTGTCCATCGCGAGAATTAATTATGAACTAAACAACCCAATGAGGTCTTTATGTTTAATATATAATAGCATAAGTAATGTAATATGCCTAAGTAGTCCATTGCATGCTATCAAGAATGCATGCTATCAAGAATGCATGCTATCAAGAATTCTATACTGGGCTTGGAAACATTAGACCCTGGCATTTGAGCAGCAGTTGTCAAATTTTAAATCATAGCTTTAGTGTACTGTTGTTTCTTTAATGTATATTAAGTAGTTAAAGTTAGTTTATGGTAATAACCGGCTGATGATCTATCTATAGCCGGTATTGTTAAACCACTACTAACCCACCACTACTGCGGGTGTGAGAGGCATGGGAACGAACGAAAAAAACGGCGGCGGTAAACTTTTTCAAATCCATACTTTTTTTAATAAAACAGTTATTTATAATAGTGGAAAAGGAATTCAAAATTTTACTGCTGTAAAAAGTTTCGAATTTTGTCGAATTCTTGAAATTAGCTGTAAATGTTGAAGATATTAAAATAAATAACATTGAGAACATGCATTACATTTTATTAAGCCATATGACATTTTCGTCGTTTACAACTTTTTGATATTCGAAACCCAATAAGTTCGTCACACAAACTATATCTGATCTCTGCGAACCAGATATGCCAAATTGCATTCACTACGGTCAAAAAATCAAGCAAGGACTTTTACACCGAAAGGAAGGATGGCTGCTATACGAGGCTATACAAAATATTTTCCTCGAGGAGAGAGTTTACCAATGGGAACTTGAAATGTCTTATAAAAGTTATTTTATTTGGGTTGTTCTGTAAGCATTAATTTTTTGTAAATACCTCCATACGAGTTTTTTTTTTGAAAATTTGAAGCAGTTTTACTGGTTTCGTATTAATCTTAATATTATGCCAATTAAAGAATTGCATTTCTGTTTTTCTGAAAAAACCCTATCATTTACAGCTGTAAAACGGCTCCTTTTCTTACTTATGTTATGGATATTGTTGTGTCATTTTACTTACTTAATACTAAATTGATTTTATTATCTCTCTCTTTCTCCTTTTTCTTACTCACTCATGCTCGGCATCTTCATTTCCATGTTCATTAACATTTATTGTGCCTGATTCAATCTGGATTCCTGTTCGCCGTCTTCTGGGGCCATAACGTCATTGTCGCAATCGTAATCATCATCGTCCTCATCAACGACACCAACAATGCCGATATTGAACTGCAAACAATAAAACAACAACAACAACAATCATGTAATGACATTGACACAATCAAAATGTTATTTCATCCATGCTACCGCGTTATCCGTTGCCGTTGTGGAAGTAGCGCGCGGCTTTGGTATGCGTGTTGTGGGTGGCAAGACTGGTGCAGATGGCCGACTATTTGCCTATATTGTGTGGACAGTGCCCGGAGGACCAGCTGAGAAAAATGGTCTACAACAAGGCGATAAGGTAATTGAGTTACAATGTTTTTTTTTACAAACACACATACCTTCGCACACACACAATGTCCGAGCAAATGCAATTTTGAATGTTTACTCACTTTGTTGCACGTTGTCATTGTTGTCGTCGGTCACTCAATAACTGTGGAATTGAACTTTAAAGTGCACAAAGAATTATTGTAGAACATTGTACAACGTATTTCAATAAAGCAGTAAGAAACTTTTAAAAATATCGAATGTAGTTTGAGGAAAACTTGTAATAAAGGGTGGGATCGTTGCATGGGGGATATACCAAAAAAAACAAACCTATACCAACATTTGTTTTTCACTGAGATCTACACATATATGAACTTGTTTTTAATGAAAATTTTACCCAAAATTCTCAAAATATTTAAAATTAGGTGTATCCTACTTGTAATACTAATTGATGTTATAATGAGTCTATGGTTAGTTCGAAAATATGGAATTGTCTAGTAACAATTATTGTAACCTCTGGAAACAAAATACAAAATTACATACACATGTGTAGGAAAGTTAGTCATAAATTTTCAATATGACTTGTATGGACATAGGAGATCTATGTCAACAACAATCTTCTATATAGAACATTTTATCTGTCAAGAAGAAAACGATAAATGCCAATTTATATAAATTTCCCTAAAAGAATTTGGCAATAAGAATCACAATACCCAACCTGGGCGAGAACTATGTCAAACATGGACCACCTTCCTAAACTAGAAATGGCAAAAACTGTTTGATATTAGGGACTATTTAAAAAAGAACGGACCATGATTATTAGCAGTATACGTTAATGTTCTCTGGGGTTTATATCAAAATTATGACCACACATTTATTACCAGTTATCCTAGGATCTAAGCAAAATATATGTGGAAGGTCTATTTTAGATTTGACATTGAAGCTTGAATTAATTTTATTCCCTTTGTCGGTTATAAAAATGGAAATGGAATGGAAAATGGAAAAATTTGACAAAAACTTTTATTATTATTATTTTGTTTCTTATTCTTCATCCACAGATTTTAGAATGGAATGGCATGTCACTGATCGATCGTAGTTTCGAAGAGGTCTGCAGTATAATGGATCGTACCGGTGATATAGTGGAGCTATTGGTGGAACATGCCACCGATTTCAGAATGTGTGATTTATTTGATGAAAATCTACCACCGGGTAATAGTGGCGGCAGTGAACGAGGGCCAAGACGTTCAGGCGATGGCCCTGTAGGTTTGGGTCTAATAGCCGGTAAGTTGTCATGATCATTTAACATTTTCTTAAGTACGTGTATATTTTTTGTTTTTTTTCTTTTCTAAATGTTGTGATTTTTTTAGTTACTGTCATAACAGTACAGTGCAATAAATATATATTTTATTAAATATAAGATTAATTGTTTTTTATTACATTTTTTGTATAAATTATTTTTATTTAAGCAAAAAAAAAACAACATTAAACATACTTAACATATTGTTTTCCCCCTTTTCTTCTTTTTCTATTTTATTCAAATTATTTGTTTTGTCAAAAACAATTTCAATTATTGCCACGAAAATGTGAAAAAAATTTAAATATTTCCAACAGACCCTGAAACTACAGTTGACAAATCACCGGCATCACCAACACGGCGGAAATTACCCAAGACTCCGGTATAAATTAGTTCCGCATTCATTCAATTTTTATTTATTTCTAGTCATATTATCTCTACACATGCACACGCAGACACTCTCTACAACACTATGTGTATATGTATGCATACTGTATTAAAAAAAAAAACAAAACAAAAAAACATTGTAGACTATATAACGACAAACTATCCGAAAATATTAAAAACTGATCATAAAAAAATTAGCAATTTTCTACAAATTAAATATTCTTAAATACTTGACTTCCGGTGATTAAAACTCAAAACAGATGTGAAATTTTCAATAAAATAGACAACATATTAATTTGTTGGTAGAAAAAAAAAACACAAAAAAACATAATTAGCGAACATAAGTTACTCAAACGAAGGTAGTGAAATATTTTATTGTTTCTTTTATATATAAAGAAAAATGAAGTAAATGAAATAGCAACCCCTAACAAAGCAAACGATTTTTTTCGGTTTTCAATTTTATTTGCTTTTTAATGTTTTCTTTTGTTCTTTTTGAAATATCTATTTCAATCAAACAGGTTATTTTCACTTTCTATTTTTTAAGCAACACTTGACATCTCATTTTTGTGTTCCCAATTATTTATTTTTCTTTACGATATTATTATCGCTTTAAATACAATTTCGGTTTACTAATTTTACACATTATTATAAAAATGAAAACATACATACCCATATACCTATTTATTATATAAATATTCAATTAATGTCAGTAGATCAGTTATTTGGTATAAACGTAAAATTTTTGAATTCATATTTTTTGAATTCATTTTGTGGTTATAACTTTATTTACTCAACATAGTAATTCCACATTTCCACAAATCCATAAAATATTTGATTTTTTTTCATGGAAAATATTTTATTTTTTATTAATTTGATTTGTAGATTTTCAATCTAACTTCATCTCAATATTTTGCAGCGTTTCTTATTAGCTTACTAAATTAATATTATTTATGTCAATGAAGACACCTATTGTTTTTGGGAAAGATCTGTTAATATGTAGGGAATGAAATGGACCAAATAATAAATTTTTATCGGTTTTTCTGGTCGCTCCAGAGGCCGCAATAATAGCCCGAACATCGTGAAATTTAGCATGGAGAAGGGAATCGGGCCAAAGAATTAACATGCCTCTTTTGATGAAGATCGGTCAATGGACCCTGACTTTTGTGTGAAAAATGGCAAAATTTGTATTCTATAGCGTATATATTTACCCTTGAAGGACATTGACCCGAGACGTTGATATTATATCCAAGAGGAGTGGTTGACCCTTAAATTAATACCAATTATATTGTTGTATGAGCTCGGATATGGGAGTTACACCTAAATATTTACAGGTATCTCCGTATTCGTATATTATTTAGTAAACCATTATCACTCTAGAGAGCGGAACTATAGCGCTGATCGCTTTGAAATGTTCCATGAGGTTCCAGTTATGGTCAAGGACAGCGCCTATAATTTTCGGTGATGATCTGATAATAATTTTGGAATGAAGTGGACCGAAAATCTAATTTTTTGTAATTAAAGAGAAGTCCTTATTTTTGATGGCGGGCATGACAACTCCTCACTGGAACATCGGAGTCCGAAAATTCCAACGGCGTTAGAAAGAGTACATGTCTGGCTCTCGTATGAACTAGGATTATTGACTTCGCTCTAAAATTAACAAAATGACGGACCTTTGAAAAAATATTTTTGAAAAATCGACGATTTTTTACCAAAAACCAAGTTAAAAAATAAGGAAGATCTTCACCGATTGGCTTTATCCTAGTTGATACGATAGCAGTACACTCACAGAGAAACGTGTAAAAAGTGGGTTATTAGTTTTTGAGTTATCGTGCCCGCCATTCGCAAAAGAGAAAAACGCGTTTAAAGTTTGAGAAGCCCTTTAGCCGTCACTTGATGCTGACACAATAAATCGGATATATCTTCAAGAGCTCTTAAGATTTTCACTTGCAATTTTGTAGGGACATTCTTGAATTAGTGTAGAATGGTGGGGTCCCCTTAAGTGGTATTAATTTTGTTTGTAGCTTTCTGCCCTTAATCATGATCGAATATATAACGTAATATGTTTTATAAACTTTTCTACAAAAAAAAAACAAGATCAGAACCTAAAATGGACTTAATTCAATTTCAAAATAAAGAACTCATATGACTTAGAAAACCTCTTATATTTATAGAAGGCCTGCGAAAATGATTCTACCTGTAGAAGACGCAGAGAACACATTCTAACTAAAGATCGGTTGTCTCCAGAGACCGGGATATATATGTTATTAGTAGGAGTATTCCGATCTTTAGATGACTTAAATATATTCTGTCTTCTGCGTAATTATAAGGCATTCTCATGGAGTGGACCATTTTTTTATTAAAAAAAAACTTAGATTTTTACTCCTCGGATATTTGGTATCAAAAACACCAATGTCCCCATTTCGGTTGTCTCCAGAGACCGGGATCTATATATTATTAGTAGGAATATTCCGATCTTTAGATGACATAAATATATTCTGTCTTCTGCGTAATTATAAGGCATTCTCATGGAGTGGACCATTTTTTTTTTTATTAAAAAAAACTTCGATTTTTACTCCTCGGATATTTGGTATCAAAAACACCAATGTCCCCATTTTGAAATAGGTGGGTCACTTCATATATTACTGATTTATATAATTTTTCCTGGGCTCAGACCAAATGTTGACATTTTCGCTCCGATTGAGGGACCTCAATTTCATCCACTGGTTACAAAAATCATTGATTATGCATTTTGTTTATGAGCGGGAATAAAAAAAAGGTGTCAAAATAAGGACTGTAGAGCATTGTTGTGCAGACCTAAATTGAGACTTAATTGTGAAAGTAACTGAGAATTTCTCAGCAAAAAATGTCTGAGGAGTAGAGAACAAATTAGAGTAAGTTTTTAACCATTTGCTTTAACGTATGGTTTTCTGTATGTTTTGAGCATCAGTGCTGTAGAATAGATGACCCATATGTACTGCGTTTTAGCCGGTCAAAAAGTAATCGGAATTAGCCGATGTGTGAGAGCTCGCATTATAATACAATACAACAATTTCTCCTCTCTTTTTCGTTTTTACCAATTTCTTTGAAGACCCCAGGCTTTATAGTGCGCCACTCATAACGGTGCTAACGAAAAATAGGCGCCACATATCCAGTTCTGTTGATAAAGCAGGCGACCATTTGCTTCGATGTTAATTTTTCACAAACAATGTGTGGGTCGTCGTAGGCACCCATAGTTGATTAGTGATTTGTTTGGGGCTAATCGATCGACGCGTATGCGTAATCTATGTTTGTGATCTCGTATTTTAAAGCTCGGCACGACACAAGCTTTTTTAGCAATTGTCCAGTTGTGCGGGATCCAACGAAAATAAACCATTTTTATGAATATCGAATGTAAGTTCAGGGTCAGGCACTACAACAAAGTTTTCTTATACAATAATCAAATGCAGGAATGCAGTAAAGTCGGGGCCGATATCCTACAAACTACCACGATATCCTACACAACTACCACGAAACCCTAACTTTCTGCGGATGTTTATTCAAAACCTGGGCAATATTTCATGATATTTGTACCCTCTTGTCCGATTAGAGGTCAACAGCACATCTTCCTTAAACTGACATCTATTCCGAATATTACTAATATTCAGTAGAGCCCTTCTAATTATTTGCCCAGATTCCCTTCATCCACTTTGGTCCACTTCATCCGAAATTTATCTGATATTTCAGTGTAACTCCCACATCCGAGTACAAATGACAATATGATTGATATCAATTTAATAGATATGGATACTACCAACTTCTCGGGTCTGTATCCTTCAGGAGTAAATATATACGCCATAGAATACAAATTTTGTCATTTTTCACACAAATGTCCGGGTCCATTTGACCCGCTAAATAATGACCGGTCTTTAACAAAACAAGCAAAATTATTTCTTGGCCCGATCAATAGGAGTTTTCATTGGCCAGAACCCATCCTACATGCAACATTTACTGAATAAATGTCTATAACTGTGGCCTGTATCGTGTTTACAAACTGTAATGAACGGATGGACACACATGCCTAGATCGATTCAGCTAGTCGAGATATGATGATGGTTTTGTAGGTTGTAATGATGGTGCTTCGTCGTTGTACAACAATTTAAGTTCATCGTTGCACTTCGCCGCGATAATTCACACTGAAAGATATGAAAAAAATGACTGCAGGAAAATGTTCACGAATTAATCCATTCACTTTCCCCACTTTCTAAAAACAACAAACTGGGATTACACCTAACTATTTTGCAATAACAAAAAAGGTTAATTACATATTCAAAATTGCGTCTAATACTAATATCTCCTAAAATTCATCGATATATTTCAACAAAATACAACTTCAATATGACAATTAGATTTGTGTGCGTATGATTAATTTTGGACGTTCATTCATAACGTATACGTTACATTATTATGCACGTAAATGCCGCCATTTAAGAAACGTTGCAAAATATCCCCTTCATGTCATTTTATGTTTTCTTTTTCATGCATTATAGTAATTACACAAAACAGCAACAATAATAATAATAATTATAATACATAATAACATATGTACTTGATGTTGTAGTATTAGAATTTTTAAACCAACAAATTTATACCTTAAATAAGAAACATATTAAAACAAATAACAATAAAATTAAATCCAATAAAAACAACAACAAAAATTAAACTACATATAAGATTTGAAATCACAACACAAACCACACGCTCTTATTCATAAAACAATACCAAAAACAGTTTAATTTTTCTTCTTTTATTTCAAATGTGTTGAACACACATTTTCAACTATGTACATTCGATACACAATTTTAAGCTGAAGCGTAACATAAACGAAATTTCCAAATAATGTCAATCTCAATCCAAACAAACAAAGCAAAACTGATGGCTTCCACATTCACATGTCACCATTGAGGAAACAAAAGTTTGCGACAACATGCATTGACATGATTTTGTGGAAATGTGTAT